AAAGGATTGCCGTTCCTGGGCACGTGCCTGCGTCCACTGTCAGCGATCGAAAATAAGCCGACACGTCTCAGCCCCACTGGGAAACTTTGAAACACCTTCACGCCGATTCAAACATGTTCATGTCGATATCATCGGTCCATTGCCGCCATCACAGTCCTTTAGGTACTGTCTGACGGTAATCGACCGTTTCACCCGTTGGCCGGAGGTGTATCCACTCGAACGTATAACAGCAGATGATGTCACTAAGGGTTTCCTCAATTGCTGGATTTCACGCTTCGGAGTACCTCAATACGTTACGACTGACCGTGGTACTCAGTTTGTTTCAGCTACTTTAAAAACTTTAGCAAAACGTTTTGGTTTTACGCTTCGCCCCACTACCAGTTGGCATCCTGCTGCAAACGGATTCGTCGAACGAATGCACCGACAACTAAAGGCAGCCATCATGGCCCACGCAAAAGACTCGTGGACTGAGTCACTGCCTATCGTGCTTCTCGGAATACGTTCTGCGTTTAAGGAAGACTTAAAAGCCACGTCTGCGGAACTTGTTTATGGTGAGCCTCTTAATCTTCCTGGTGATTTCTTCACAGACAAGCAAGATAATAGCAGTACGAACGACCCTACTAGCTTACTAGATCGTCTTCGCAGTGTTATGAATAAAATTCGTCCAGTACCTGCATCTCGCCACTCAAATCCACGATCATTTGTTTTTGCGGACCTTAAGGACTGTTCACACGTATTTCTCAGGGAGGGAGGTGTCCGAGCAGCACTTCAACCGCCATATCAAGGTCCCTTCGAAGTAATTGCCCGAAATGACAAAACGTTCACAATAAAAGTTCGAAATCAATCAGTTACGGTGACGATTGATAGAGTAAAACCTGCCTACCTCATGGTGAATGAAAGCACAACCGTTAGCCAGGCACATGCTCCACCAGCAACTGCCCCGGATACGACCAAACAGAAACAACCGCCTAATACCGATCCATCAACACAGCCAGTACGAACAACTCGCTCAGGCCGCCGAGTCAGATTCCCGGACATTTTTGACCCTAGCTAACTCCACTCCGTAGGGGGGTGGTGTGGCGGTCGAATATTCTAGAATGTCCGGCCGCCGCCGCCTCTAGAAGATTCGTCGCTCTACATAAGCGTGTGGCGGTCGAATGTCTAGAGAGTTCCGACGCCGCCTCTAGAAGATTCCTCTGACTATTTAAGGGCAAGATCGTCGCTCCAGTCAGTCAGTCGATCAGTCAATCACTTACGCATTCTGTCTTACACGCGCTTCGTTTCTCGCTGTTATTTATTAGTTCGTTGTAATACAGTTCGTCTCTCGCTGTTATTTGTTATTTGTTAGTTCGTTGTAATATAGTATAGTTGTTATTAAATCGTAAAAGTGTTTATTACTTCTATATATTACACCTCGCTATAAAAAATATATATATAGACTATTGGCAGATACAGTTCAATAGTTGCATTAGAAAAAAAAATTAAATTCTAAAAAAAAATTTTGATAAATACTCTTTAAAAAATGTTAACATTGATACTAGAAATTCGACATTCAGCCATTGAAATACCCTAAGTATAAAAGACAAGGACCGTTGAGTATGTGTAACTTACTCGTATATGTTTCCTTTTTAGATAAAAGGGTTTTCTACACTTTAATATACTGGATATGTAGTTTCAGATTCTTAGGGTTAAAATAACATTAAGTGTTACATTCCTTTTAAGTTTTGATCTGGTTGAATTGACCTCTAACTTGGGCTCGATCGCATTATATATATTGGTTTTCCTTTTTTCACTATTAAATAACATCAATTTCAGTAATTACTTGTTAATGAAAAATAAGATATTATTTAAAATGTTTGTGTTGAAACCATTTCAGTAATTTTTAGAAATATCTTAGCGGTAATTTCTTATTGTTGTAATTTTTAAATTAAATAATATCTAATAAAATCTTATCCATTCTACAGGGTAACTCTTTTAATGCTTGCAAAAAATTTAAATGGCAGTTATAGTAATCATATAGTAACTATAACGTCCCTTAAATTTTTGGCTAGCGTTAAAAGAATCACTCTGAATATCAAAGGATGAATAGTATCGTAACTCAAAACTTAATAAAATGAAGGTGACTTGAATAAAAAGTGTAAAAGTGAGAGTTACTTTAATTCGGGGTGTGATTCGAGAATCATAAAATAGCATAAATATTCTCTCTTATTGATTTTGAAATCTTACCTGATAATTTTTCTGGGTTATTAAAATATCTTAAATAATAGTATTAATTAATGACTGATAAATAAAATGACACAATTCGATTTAGTTCACAACTTTAATATGTAAAAACTTCGATTATGATGATCAAAATTTTCGCATAACGTTGTCTAGAACACAGTAAGAACAGACCAGAGTAAGTCTTTGCTCTGCCTTTCTATAATACTTTGTACCCCTGAAAATCATCATTGTCTCATTCTTACAATATTACTGTTTATTAATAGTATACAAATCATTTTGACATTTTATATAACATGGTTTTTTATAATTAAGATTAGGGTTGATACGATGCGTTTAATTATTGAGATTAGAGTAAAAAAAGATGACAAATATAATTTATAGATTTATTCTCGGAAAGAGAGATTTTAAAAGTGACTATTGATTTATGACTGAATCGTGTATACACACGATTCAGTCATAAATCAATAAATCAATGTTTAGTTATATTGTAATACTACAATATAACTAATCAGTATGCGTTTATTGACTATTTCTCTTAAATTTTTTAAACATTTAAAAAAAATTTAGATAAACATCATGTTTATCTAAATTTTTTTGTTTTAAAAGGATTATGATCTTCTAAGAATATGAATATAATATATTAATAGAAGTGTTGATTATCTTAAACGAAAAAGTTAAATTAGAGACCATTATTGTGAACATAAATAGGGTAGCCTACTGTTTTTCCATATTATGATAATGACGAGTATATTACGACAATAGTCAATTTTTTATACATTATTTATAAATATATTCACAAATACACTAATGTACATTATTATGTATTATACTTCACATTTAATTATTGTTTAAATATTAGTTTTGATAAATATCATAATGAATGTTTGATTGAAGTTAATTAAAAAGTAAAAATAACGTTTCAATATGTTTATATTGAAAAGCTGGACTGGAATCATCAAATTGGAAAATCATATTTTCCCAAGTATTTCTATCGTGCAGTTTTTCACTTTCATTGTCTAATGGAATGTCTGACAGGTTATTAAATTACTCGTGGAAGAGTCTTATTTTTATACTTTATCGTTGTCTACCTTTTGTTTATTTTCATTTATTTGAAAAATTATTTTTTCAAATAATAAGTATTTTCCTTTTTTTGGCTACACATTTCCTGTTTATACACGAACGTGTTAACAGTCTTATGACTGTAATGTAACCACTCTGCAATTTATAAATGTATAATTAAGTAGTTAGCATAATTTTACACGCAAATGTGAACCTTACTTTAAAATAAGGAATTTATTTTTTATTTGTCAACTACTTTTTGTATGAAACTCAATATGAATTGTAAATTCAAAAACAGATAGGGATAATTTTTTTAAAGATCCTAAAAGAGCTGCAAATTCAACTCTTTGGGTATTCTTATTTTACGAAAGATATTTACAAATAACAAAATGTCTGAAGTTTTACAAAAATGTATTATTTATATTTACTATTATTATTTTCATACGTGAGATTAAAGTATAAAGAGTTATATTCGTCTTTAAATGTTTAGCGAGTATTGTAGTAATTGTAATTGACTCAAGTTGGTCAATTCTACGGTAATTCTACAATAACTGTCGTTTATTATGGAAAACAAAAATAAAAACATTTACAATTAACCTCGAATTCATTTGCTATATGAATTATTTAAAAATATTTGTTCATTTTTCTAAACAATACACACTTTATTAATTTTTAGTAATTGCCGGTAGAAACGACTTAATCGCAGAAAAAATAAGTTATAATAAATTTTTAAAATAATAATTTGTTGTTATTAAAAAAAAGTTACAACTGATTTAAGTTGTAGTGTTGTAACAAGTACTTTTAATTATGTAGACTGAATTAGCGATTAACTTATTTTAATTGAAGAACTAGTTATTTAAAATACTGCCATTTCATTTGGTATACTATTATTATTCGTTTCATTGAACTTTGAAAATTCTGATGAAATTATTTTTATTAAAAGTAATAATTACTTTATTTACAATGAAAACTGTAAATCGTTCTAGAGAACTAAAAATAATAAGCACGTGGGTCGAAAATTTTTCGTAAACAGTTTTTACTATGCTTAAATTTCATTTAAAAATAATTATGCAAAACGCTAGTTTTATATTTAATGAAAACAGTGTTCACTTGTGCGTTAAATATGATATACAACATGTTGAAATATACAAACACTTTTGTTGTATTATTCTTGTTTCAGTGAGCACTATGTTACAGCATCGTGATCGTCATTGAATGAATATTTTTTTTGTAGTCGCCGAGTACTTATATTGCATTATATTATTCGAGATAGCGTCTAATTTTCTAAGAAAACGTTATAAAAAAAAAAAAAAACTACAATAAAGGAAGAGTTAAGTTTCACGGAAAAGCAAAATTCCAACGATCATTTTTTTTTTTTTACATAAAAATATAATACATGTATACTGTGAGTGCTGTATAAGAGAAACCTCAGGTGGCCAGAGATGCGTACTATCTCTTTTACCTGTAGTACAGGAGGAATGTAGCACCGATAAACCATCCCCCCGTGTGCACACTTAGAACAAGAGTTTTTTTTGGGGGGGGGGGTTGCCGAGGCGGTACTTTATAGGTACGGCTGACTACGGGGTTCCTGTCGCTGTGCTGTATGAAAGGTGCGCGCGCGCTGCCTTTCGCACCCGCCTTGGTCACCGAGTGGAGGAATGCAAAAGCTTGCCCGCTGTGGTGGCGGAAAAGCCGGGAAAACGCGCTCACAGAGGAAAACCTTGCGTCATCAAGTGTTGCACCTCATTGTTCGTGTGTATTCGCGACGATTTGCACGCCGCCGCGACATCACTCGCTCGTAAGGCATCGTAGACAATCGTAATCGTAAAACACAATATATAATATTTATAAAAAAAATTATAAAACGGGTTCTGCAATTTCCGGTTTTATGAATTATTCAGTTTGTTTTAATCGACATTTGATTGTTGTGTTGTAAAAAAAAAAAAACAGTTGATCGCCATTTTTCCAACGAAATTCATTATTTGTTAACCGTGAAAAACGTAAGTATTCGACGGAAGAGCGTTTGTTTTTCTATTTTATTTCAATTTTGGTTCGACGTTTTTTTTTTTAGATCTTGATATAAAACACAAACTTTAATAATAAAGAAAAATTAAATTGCTATACGGTTTATTGCTTAGACACACAACCAAAATATACCGTTATTTGCTCTACGAGAAAATAAAAAAATGTAACTTTTTAATTTAAACGTCAACATTTCCCTGTTGAATATTTTTCTATGGTTATTATAAACGCCCCTTAGTTTCAATAAAATGCAAATAAGAAGGCCTTACCAAATATATATAGAAATATTATTTGTTTACAAAACTTATTTTAATAATAAATGTGTTTAGTACTTTATCCTATTGATTATAGTATTTTTTATTTAATTTTTAAACACCAGTTGCTGTTAAAAGTCGTCACCACATTGTTAAATAATACAATAATTAATTAGATATTACACATGGACTTTAGATGGATGATTTCGAAAACGAAAGTTCTAGAAAATAATAATAAAAGGTTTCCGAAAGGTACAACCAAATTTCTTTGCGTAGTTTGATTGGTAAATGGATAAGAGAGGTCAAAGTCGAATTGGACGAATCTGGCTAATGTTTTTTTTAACATAATCATTCCCGTACTAATTACACGAGCACGCAATTAACACTGTTAATATGCTCCACGCGTACATTCTAAGAATAACATCTTACTTGGTATTTTGTTCTGGTTTTATTGTTTGTTCAGTAAAAATATTCAACACGCACATTAATTAAACTCTGTTGTTTAGTTTGTCGGCTATCCGTTTGAAATTGGTGTCTTTGCAGTGTTAGTATTAATACTGTTATTGCGATTCCATTACAACAACCGAGTTCGAATATTTCCAGGTTGTTTGTTATTGAGGCGACGCATTATCTTAATACGGTCTTTATCATTAACTTTCATTTACCCCCCGGGAGAGGCAATAACGATAATTAAATAATTACCGTTTATCAAAGGAATAGCTTTGGTCGGGTGCTCGGCTGACGCTTTAATTTCGAGGCGTCTTGTTTCACACTTTAACGTTGCTAAACAAGACGAATTTGCGGTCGGATGTTTTAAGTGTTGCACGGCACTTGACAAAATGTTGTCAACTATGTGAAATCCACTGCATAACGAGTTGAATCGCCATTTCATTCAACCTTTTAGAAAGGTTTTTGAAACGGTCACAACACAAGTCGACATACTCTATTGCTTACGATTCGATAACAATGGGCAAACACATCTTTCAAGAAAACAAGTAGTTCCGGGTGTTATTTTCTGAAGACAACTGTAGGTGCTCGTACGGCTCGTAACGTTTTAGTATTCTACTTAGTTGACATTTATCTATATTACAGAGCACGATCCGCAAAGTTTTCCAAACGCATTGTTTATAATAATTTATTACAATATACGAACGACGGGCATTCAAAAACTTACCGCGTGGAAGACATTCTTTGGAACTTTTCGCTAATGTTCGAACGGAACACAAAATGAAATATAGTGTCGTATATTGTGTTGTTAGTGCGGAATGAGTGTGTCGTAACAAGGCGTACGTATAATATATTATGAGGAAGCAATACGCCATTCTGTGTGAGGTGAACTCGCGCCCAACCGCCTTCGGTTATCGATATTCCGTGTGAGAGTTCCATAGGAAACGGCGACGAGACGCCTTTAGAGTACGCCGAGCGAGTGTATTAACTTGTGTGTATACATTACGTTATCAGCAAAACGGTATGGCCGAAGGTTCGCGTGCATCTTGTCGGTGCGCTGTACAATGATAACGTTGCACGCCGTATACGTGTACCTACCGCACCTTACGCGGATTTTTATTGTTTACAGGTAACGCCCAATTAAACTTACACGCGCCATAGATTTGTCTGCGGTCTCATAAACGCGTTATAAAATGTTACATTTAGTTCCCTCCGCCGAGTAAGTACCGAAAAAAGGCGTTTTCATTTATCGCGTTCGATTTATCCACTTGAATTCGATTTTGAATTTTAGTTCGCGTGTACGATTGTTATTTGTCGAAAAAATTGGTTCGATCGAATCGTTGCGAATATTCCCAACAGAATAAATCTTTAAAGTAGTCATAGACATCGAATTAAAAGTTGAGCCTTTTCAATATTCACGAGCTGTGCACTGTTTTTCGCTTATAATTTATAAAATATTCATTCCGAAGTTTGAAAAAGATACAAGTATCTGAAATCCTACTTTATCAATGATTTTTTTATTCGAATTTTCGCAATAATAAATACTATTTTTCATTAAAATGCCTATGAAAAACTTGTACAAGTGCAAACTCGAATCGGAGACGACCATCGCGATAACTTCGTGCCGATGGAGGTGCTTTAACGACGACCTAAAAATTTATGACCAATCAGCCAGTAAAATGAAAAAAACATTTATTGTAAGCATTAAACGTTCCGGTACGTTAATTTAAATCACAAGACGACAGAGTATTTTATTTTTTACCCTCGTTATAAATGTATCATTTGATTGCCTCCACCGAGCATTTATCATTTGTCCTTTTTATTGTCACGCCGTTCAGGCGCGATGATAACGATAAAACGCGTAATGTATTCTATTGTGTAAAATAATATTTTCCTGCGAAGAATTTTACACAAAATAAACTTAATTCATAATAAATAAATTTGTTCATTCATACGACAGGTCTTCGTGTCCACAGAAATAATTAAATACTCGAAACCCTAACGAGTTTACACATTTATGAAATGTCAAATAATTAAAGAACATTATTATTATAAGTTTTCATTGTAATTATTTAGATATAAATTTAATTCACAAAAAGGTTTAAAAATTAGTTATATTAAATGAAAAGCTGTTGAGTTGAGACAAATTATTTGTCTTGTGACATATAATTTTTATACTAATTAATCAGAGAAAATCTTACTGGTAATTTTTTATTAAGAAGTTACGAACTTATTTTTTTTTTTATCTCATTCAAATCTATCAACTAGAATAACTTTTGAATTCATTGCCTAAAATGATTTATAAAATCAATAAAAATGTTATGTCTTTTTACAGTTTTATAAAAAATAAATTTTTAAGATATACTTCGACTTAATTATTTAAAAATTGGTCCTATTTATTTTTGTCTTGTTCAATTTAAATGGTAACACCATATTTTCTCTATTATAAGTTAAATATCAGTATTTCATTCATAAATATAATTTTAAAGTCTTAAAATATTACCTCTTTTATCCTTAATATTTTTGAGATAATGAATTTTCTTCCAAAGTAAAAAAAAAGTTATTATTTTGAATTTAACAATTTAAAACTAAGATACAAGATTACATTGAATTTTTTTTTTTTTGGTAGTTTTCGACAAGAAATCTTCTAATTAGTGGTAATACTTAACGTAAGGAAATAGAAGTTTTTTAAGACGCTGTGTTGTATTTTATTTTCACTAAAAACAAAAAATATTTTAATAAGGATTTTAGGCAAAGTGCCATAATATTTTCAATATGGTTACCGTTTATGTAATAACGACAATGGATACTACTAGTTAAGAATCGATTATGAATGAAAGACATGAAATCTTTTTATTGTCGATAAAAGGGACCCACCATTATGGAAAATAGAGATTTAAAATCAAACTACTAACAAACAGGGCAAATATTATTTTCTTTATTACATATCCAGGGATTTTTATTTTCACAAAAAAACTAATATACTCCATCAAATAAAAACTAAATCTAGGAACTGAAGATTTTGCCTAAAATGATTTTATTATTTGTTCGCTTTGTTTAACCTTTGTTTGGGTTGTCTGAATTCTAATAGATTATCCTATTAGTATCCTTTATGTTGTATTTTATTTGATGTAATATATCTAATTTAAGCGTTTTATCTATACAATTTATTTTGTTTTTATTTTCAAAGACCTTTTGTAGAATGTATATGAGACTTTTAATATCCTACTTAAATAACATTCACGAATTATATGTGTATGTATCTAGGAGAGACTAGGGGGCATTTAAATAAAATTTTATAATTTATTTTTCCATTTTTTTTCATTCTTCTACTCTGTATTTTAAATATATCTGCATATTTAAAACTATTCTATATACGCATTAATAAGAAAAATAGAAATTATTTTTATTATTATGTATTGCTTATATCTTCATTAAAACCATCAAATTTACAATTATAACTCGAATTTTGCTATTTATTATAATATAACTTTAAGTAATTTTATATAGCCTCAAGATCTCCACCTATATTTTTTATTGATGCTCATAACATTTCCTCAATTACTGAAATGAAAATACTCAACCAAATATATTTACTTAAATTTATTTGATTACATAATGTAAGTACATTCAATAATTTGATACACGTAATCTCGCTGAATACATAAACAATTATGATGGAATTATAATGATTTAAAAACTTTTCATTCTAATCCATCTAACATATTTAAAATTACATAAAATATTTTTTATGGGGAAAAATAAAATTATTGTATTTATATACGATACAGAGTTTATCATTGTTCATATGATTTTAATGAAATAGTATCAATTAATAAATATACTCTAGTTATATTTATTTACTCTGTGTTATCTCAAAAATATAAGGAAGTAGGAATAATCAACAAAATTGAACGGTGAAAATAATGAAAATTATTCAAATTTCGTTTATTAACTTCATTTTCGTCGTATTTTCAATAAAATAATGCAAATGCATAATTTAATGAAGCCACACAAAATTAATAAAATTATAATTACACAGTAAATGTAGATTAACATTAAGGTTAAATAAAGAATGGTTTTCATGACATTAAGAGCTATAAATGTCATTAAATTCCGATTAAATGTGTCAGAAAGAAGTTTTATCTCGAAGTTACTGGTATTTTTTTTCATTATGACTTATCTTGATGATATTTATTTTTCCAATAAACTTTTTTTTATTTTACCATAGTTATTTGAATGGACATTGCAATATATTATCTTAAAATATAAATGAC